CCTTGAGTAGGGCCCAGGCATCTTTTGCCCGAGCCTTGGCTCCCGACCCACCCCCTCCCCCCGCAGGTAAGAGCAGCGTCAGCGTCAGCAAGCAACGGTCAGCGGCAGCCCCACCACCCCCACCTCCACCTCACACACTCACTGGCCCCTTGCGCGATGGCACGCCGGCATGTTGGCATGGGAACGCCAAGCCCGGCACGGTAGCGGCGGCTGACTGAGTAATGGCACAGCAGACCGCCGCGGCAGGCCACTTTGCACTCCTGCCTGCAATGCATGCACCCTTACATGTGCAGCCTTCTGGTATTTTCATGTGCCTGGGAGATGTGCGGGCATGGGGGCCCATGTGCCCCATGCCATTTGAGTGCCCGGCGGCGGCGCTGCCTGCCGCCGGGAGCCCGCACCAGCATCGGCACCCGTCGGCCTGGCAGGCCTAAGCTGCTAAGGATCCCCACGTCCCCCACCACGTTGTGGGGGTTGCGTGTCCGGCAGGACGGGGAGCGGGGCCAGGGTGGGGTGACCCTGGGACGCTCAGCTGGGGGGAGGGTGGTCGGAGCCATGGAGAGGGTGCTCCATGGTCCACCCCCTCTCTTGATGCCCCTTGATCACGTGTGCCCCCTGCCCAAGGTCTGCTCACGCGGCCTATCATAGCGGGGTGACTGTAACACAGGTTAACACAGCATGAACGCCCCACAGGTGCAAGCCGGTGCCTGCCTGCTGTCTACTCAGGCACCCGCCTTGCTGCCCCCCATGTTCGCAATGTGCAGTCCCAAGCCTCCCAGGCCGCCGCCAAGGCCCAGGCCGCCCAGGTACGCTGAGCTGGAATGCCAGCGTGGGCGTGCGCACCGGAGGGCGAGCAGAGCCGCATGACTTTGCCAGTCATACACACGTTTCGATGCGTGCCCTGTCAGCTGCTTGCGTTGCATGTCGCCTTGCTCCACCCCTGTTTTATTGCTTTCTCTGCTTTCGCCCGGTTCCCGTCCCGTTTCGGCGGGGAGTCTATGTTGCAAGCTAGTTCTTGCTTTACCAGACTTTAAGCCCACACAAGCAAGCAAGCAAGCAAGCATGACATGGCACACGCGGTGGGCTGCCGCCGCGCCCTGCCGCCCTGTGGTTGTGTTGTTGGCAAACAGTTGCTGCTGTTCTGGCCATGCCTGCACCCTGCGTTGCAGACCACCCCGGCCAGCTCCGCCGAGCCCGCGGCCGCCCCGGCCGCCGCCCCCTTCCCCTCCGCCTCCGCCAAAGCCGTCGCCGCCGCCTCCACAGCCCCGCAGAGCATGAGGAGCATGCACTGGGGCGCTGGGAAGCGCGGCCTGGCTCTTTCTGCGCCACCCGCCGCTGCGTGCTGTGCTATTCACTCTGGGGCAACAGCACTGCTGACGGTCATGGGAGCATAGCTGTGGCGCTTGGCGTGGGTGCGCCATGCATGACGAACTCACATATGTAGTTAGTGTGTAGCGCTTTAGCACAGTCCCCACGCATTTCAGGCACAACAACTCTTGAAATTAAGAGACCGGCCCGACAGAGAGAGCAGGCCGCCGCATTGTGCAAGTGCCAGGTTCGGCCGCCGCCGCCGCTGGCCCCGCCTCCCAGTCCGCACCCGAAATTTAAATATGAGAACTCAACCAAGAGCATACTGCTACCTGGAACGACTATGCACCGGGCCACCGTCCGTTCATGTGATCGTTGAACGCGAGACCACGACCTTACAGCATACACCGCGCACACCAAGGCCGGGGGCGCCGCCGCCTGCGCTTGCAGCCCCCACCGCCCGCCGCCAGCTGAGGGACAGACACAGGCCGGCGTGCGCGAACAAGGCCACCTGGGCACATTTGGAGCCCATTGCGGGGGCAGCCGGGCTCTGCGCACGCGGTCGATGGCGCGCGCAAGGTGCTGCAGGAGGGGGGGCGCTGGCCGGCGGTCCTTGGTTCGGCGCCCCCGGGCGCTGCGAATCCCTTGCAATGGGCGTGGATCGATGAATGGAAGCGAATAGACGGCATTTCCTGGGCGTGCCGCGGCCTGTTCGCTCTTGAACCAGCCCCAGGGAAGCCGCCCCAGGGGTGCAAACACACTTTGTTGTTCGGTGCCAGCGGCCCACTTCTTTGCGCAGCTCTCATTCGTTCCAATCCCTCCTGCCCGCGAACAACACTCAAGCAGAGTTGTAGCGCGCAGCGGGCTGCGCCCCGCAGGAGGGCAATGAAGGCTTTGGGCCTCTGCCTCCTGGCGGCCTGTTTGCTGCTCCCAGGCTGGTGAGAGGGGCTGCCAAGGGGCCAGCAGGCGCGGATCGGCTTGGTTCGCGGTGCAGCAGCGGGGGGGGGGGCCTCCTGCTGGGGGGGGTGAAAGCGCCGGCGGCGCTGCACCCGGCGGGACCGCAGCTGGGCCAGCAGCCACTGGTGTTCCAGCCACCCAATGCCTGCTTTTTTTGCCTGCGTGTTGGCCCTGCAGCTTGGCAGATGGCCCGGACTTCTCTCTAGACCTAGAGGATACGCCGTCAGGTGCGCTGGCATGGCCAGCCGCGCAAGGCGGCAGCCCGTTTCCCGCCGACCTCTCCCGCCGCCGCCGACCGCCGCCGCGCCGGCCGCGCAATAGCCCGCCGCCAGCAGCAGGGCCCTGGCCAACTCCCCAACACCCCTGCTTCCCCTGCAGGCTTCCGCCACCTGCTAAATGTCACCAACGACACTTCACGTGAGCATTCTTGCTGCCGCCCGCCCGCGTGCCATGAACACCACACTTGCCGGCAGCCAGCCAGCCACCACGGCCTCCCAGCTGGGAGGCGAGGCCGCCTGTGCCTGCATGAGGGCAGCATCAGGGCCAGACCATGGGCATGCATGCAGCCTGGGCACGGCGGTGGCGGCGCCGCGCGCCGTGCAGAGGTGCTGGTGCTGACCCGGAATTCGAATGCCTGCTCCCATGTGCTCTGCTGCAGCGCCGCCGCTGCCGCCCCCGGCCCCGCCGCCGCCGTCTTGCCCGCCTCCCATTGTGACCTTCATCGGCATCCTGCCTGACTTCACTGCGAGCGACTTCAATCTCGCGGCCCAGAATGCCTACACCACGCTGGTGTATCAGCAAGCGGTGGGCTCTGGCGGCGTTGACCCGGAGCCGCGCATCACTATGTTCGAGGACCGCCCCGTGGGCTCGGACATCTCGGGCATAAACGTGCACACCGAGGTCATCTTCCCGGGGCCGTTGTGCCAGGAGGCGGCAGCCGCCGCCTTTGCCGTCTACCTAAACACCAACCAGACGTGGATCAAGACTGCATATGGCACCAACGCCAGCGTGGTCTTCGTCAACCTTGGGTGCCTCGCAGCTGCGGTCAGCATGTGCGCAGCGTAGACCCGGCAGCGCCTGCGTTTTGCCGCGCTGCTGCACGCAGCTGTCCCGGGCAGCAGGTTGTCACATAACATGCTTGCACTTCCTGATCCTGCAGGCCTTTCCCGCCTCCGTCTTTCCCGCCGCCCTCACCCGCGCCGCCATCACCTGCGCCGCCGAGCCCCAAGCCGCCCTCTCCTAAGCCGCCGCCGAGCCCCAAGCCGCCCTCTCCCAAGCCGCCGCCGAGGCCCAAGCCGCCGCCGAGCCCCAAGCCGCCGCCGAGGCCCAAGCCGCCCAGGTATGCACAGCCGACCTGCCTGTGGAGGCTGGGGCAGCAGGATGGGGGTGTGTGGAGCATGCTGCGCACCCTGGTGTGGTGCTCCCATGTGCCCCTGCCACCCGCCTCCTGCCCACCCTCTGTGCTTAAGCTTGCTTCCGATCCTGCTGTGCAGCCCCAAGCCCCCGCCGAGGCCCAAGCCCCCGCCGAGGCCCAAGCCGCCAAGCCCCAAGCCTCCCCCTCGTCCCAAGCCTCCACCTCGCCCCAAGCCGCCAAGCCCCAAGCCTCCTCCTCGCCCCAAGCCACCACCTCGTCCCAAGCCGCCGAGCCCCAAGCCGCCGCCCAGGTATGTGCGCTGCTCAACTGGGGCATGCCGGGGCTGGCCTGCTGTTCGTGCACTCAAATCTGGACGGCGGGGCAGCGGCAGCAGTACACAGGTGCAAGACAGTGCCCTGCCTGCTACTGCTGCTGGCGCTGGCACGGCTGACTCTGTTTTTCCCGTCTGATTTGTGCAGGCCCAAGCCGCCGCCCAGGCCCAAGCCGCCGCCCAGGCCCAAGCCGCCACCCAGGCCCAAGCCGCCCAGGTATGGTCCATCTGGCTGCCACGACAGGCCCAGCAGGACCAGCACCATGCCGTGCTTGGGTGCTGTGGCGCATTGTGGCTCGTGCCCCCGTGGTCGTTTTGGCAGCCACAGCAACACCGTCTGCACATGCCACCGGCCCACCCTCGCCCTACTTCTCCTCTTCTTGCAGCCCCAAGCCTCCTCCCCGCCCCAGGCCGCCTCCAAGGCCCAAGTGCGTAGCTGGCATACTGCATGCCCATATGCTGGCCGCCTTGCGCTGAGCATGTGGGACTCACTTGGTGGATGGCAGGCACACACTTCATCGGCGACACTGTCCCAGCGAAGCTGCCGCCCTCCAGCCGCAGGCCACTCATGATTGGGTCTTGCTGTGTCCCGTACTGCCTTGCAGACCCCCCAAACCCCCGAGCCCGCGCCCTCCGCCCAGGCCCAAGCCGCCCAGGCCGCCGCCCAGGCCCAGGCCGCCCAAGCCGCCCAGGTATGCACCGCCGACCTGCTTGGAGTTGGCAGCAACAGGATGTGGAACGGTGGAGCATGCGACGCCAGTTTGCTGCGGTGCAGTGCATTCTGGTGTGGCGCTCCCATGCGTGTGTCTCACCCTTGTACTCTGTTTTTGTGCAGCCCCAAGCCGCCCCCTCGGCCCAGGCCTCCGCCGCGGCCCAAGCCGCCCAGCCCGTCGCCACCCAAGTTCCAGCCGCCGCCCCCGCGGCCCCGCCGCAAAAACACCTCGTGATGAACCAGATCCTGCATGCTTTGCATTCCAGTTTGGTACGATCGATCCCATTAGCGCACCTCACCGCCCTGCCCTGAAATCCCTCGCGCCGCGGCGTGCCGCCTGCCGCGCACGGGCTGCTACCACCGGCCGCAGGCGCCACCGCCGAGTATTCTCCCCTTTTCTTCACCCTCATCTCTTTGCCTCGCCTCGCTCTTGCTCTCCCACAGCGCCCGGGCCTCCACCCGTCGCACAGCTGTACATTACACACCCGGAGGGCTCAGTGACCTTTTCTGTGTTTATTGTTTGGCATTGCTTGTCCCAAACAACCGAGACAGCATTGATAGCGCAGAGAACGCTGGGTGTAAAAGCAGAGCCTCCCACACGAGTCCAGTGCCCAGCAAGGCCCTGCTGCGGCGGCTGCGCTGAACTGCAGCGCACTGAAGCCAGCACAAACTGATCATCCACAGGGTGTTCTGGCCAAACCTGCGCCTCGACACAGCCTGGCCAGACCTGCGCCTAGACACAGCCTGCACACAGCGTGCTCTGCCGCCGCCGCCGCCGCTGTGTGCAGGCTATGGCCCTGAAGATGGAGCGACACGCGGCGCCATCCCTCTACATCCCTCCACTTTCTCTTGATTCCCTGATCTTACAGCGCGACCACTGAACCGCCCCCAGAACACTGCATGCGGGCTTCGGCGTGGGCTGTGCCTCGCCAAGAGCCCGTGTTCGCAGGCCCCATCGCCTCTGTGCAGCCTGGGGATGAGTCCTGGATGACCTCACCCGCCTGCAAGCGCCCACAACGCCCAGACTTTGGGTTGGGACCTGCAGGGAAGCCAGTGCAAGGGCGCCTCTGGCTGGGCTTGACAGGGCGGGAAGGGCTGGGGAAGCCGCCTTGTCCTTATATAAGCACGCCTGCGTGAATCATCCTTCCATTCTCTCATCACAAAGCAGCCTCCACAGCTCGACTTCTCCCAGCCATCCCCCCAACTTGACTGCTTGCGTCTCTTGAAAGCTCCCTACACCCACTTGAAACCAGCCATGCGCTCCTGCCTCCCCCGCCTGCTGCTGCTGGCGCTGTGTGCCCTGCTGGCCAGTGCTGGCACCGCCCAGGCCCGCAGCCTGAGGCAGTTCCCCTCTTTTGGTGGCGCCCCGCCTGCCCCCGCCAGCAGCCAGTGCCTGGACCAGTTCAAAGTGTGGTTGGAGGGCTCTGCCACCTGCTCCGGCACCGCCGCCGACTGCTGCACAGGGCTGCTGGACCTGGGGGAGAGCTGCTGGCAGGAGGTGCTTGACAGCGTGGCGGGTGATCAGCAGTTGACCGAAGCAGCGTGAGTGGCGTGTGCCAGTTGGCGGCAAGGGGGGGTGCGGCCTGCATCTGCTGCTGCGGCACACTTGTGGCTGCTTACTCGACCGCTGTCTGCCTCCAACCCAGCCCGCCATCCCCCTGATACCCTTGCCCCATGCAGCATCACGCTGTTCCAGGGCTGCGGCCTGACCGTGACCCCTGTGGACCCCTTGCCCCCCACCAACACCACCGGCAACAGCAGCACCCCACTGGACGTGCCTCGGTGTGTGGACGACTTTGACGCCGCTCTCAACACCACCTGCTCCTCCGCCGGCGACACCGTCTCCTGCTGCAACTCCCTGTCGGCCCTGGGGGGGCAGTGCCTGTCCCACCTGGCCGCTTCCATGGCCGCAACCCCCGACCTTGCCAGCCTGCTGACCGCCTTGTGAGTGGCTGGGCTGGGGTGCAGAGCAGGGGGCGTGTGCGGCTCATGCTGCTGCTGTAGGCGTGTGTGTCAGGCTCATGGCTTTGCCCTGCCTGCTGTCTGCCTGATTGCTGTCTCCCAAACTCAACCAGCCTCTCCTCCTCTCCCTGCTTTGCCCGCAGCACCGGCCAGCTGGGGAGCTGCCGCATCCCGCTGCCCGGCAGCGATGGCACCGCCCCTCCCGCCCCTCCCAGCCCGGCAAGCCCCACATCCGGCGGCAGGTGCTTCGACAGCTTTGAGGCCGCCCTCTCCTCCTCCTGCGCCGCCACCGACCTCACCCCCTGCTGCAACGCGCTGGAGCTGCTGGGCGAAAGCTGCCTGGAGGAAGTGGGCACCTCTGTGATGTCCGACCCGCAGCTGATGGAGGCATTGTGAGTGGAGGGGGCTGCTGGCAGGACTGCTGCTGCTGCTGTGCACCCTGTGCCAGCTCCGCTCACGCGCCCTGCCCCTCCTTGCCACCTGCAGCACCGCCCTGCTCCAGGGCTGCGGCTACTCTGTCTCCACCTACTCACACCTCGCCAAGAAGCGCTCCCTCATCGCCGGCGACGACGCCGATGCCGCCGCAGCACTGGGCAGCGCCGCCTCCCTGCGCTCCCTGCCCAAGCCCCAGCCTGGCTGCGCCCTGTGCGGCGAGCACCCCCAGCAGCTGGCCAGCGCCGGCCCCGTGGCCCGCCGCTCAGCGCTGGTCACCAGCCCCAGCTTCCGCGGCCCGCACCCGGAGCTGCTGCAGAAGCTGGGCGGCGCCAGCCACAACTAGATGGCGGCAGCTACCACCCACCCACGTTTCATAACAAATATACGGTTTCATGAATACACACCTGCCTTGCCACATGATGTGCCCCCCCCCCCTCCATGCATGCAATACATGCATGCCCTTTTCTCTATGAATCCTCTCTCATCTGATGCGCCTGCACATGCTCGCCTTCTGCTCCCCCTCTTCTTCTTCTTCTTCCTCTGATTTGTCCCCCTATTGCTGCTCCCAAGTGAAATGAGTGAAATAAGTAGCGCCCTGTGCCTGTCTGCCCTGCAAAAGTCGGCATCCCCCTATGTAAGCACCACAGCGTTTGCTAGCATGGATGCGACACTGGCAGCCGCGGCAGGCGGTGGCAGCAAACAGGAAACAGACTGGGGGATTGGACAGAAGCAAACTGCATGCCTCGCTCCCCGCCACCTCCACTCCCTAAGACTGCCTCTGCTGCTGCTGCTGCGCTGCCGCCGCCGCCTGCCGCTGCTGCTGCCGCCCTGCCGCTGGGGCCAAGCGCTCGCCGTGGCCCATGGCCGCCGCCGCCGCCGCCGCCGCCGCCATGTCTGGCTGCTCCTGCTCCAGCAGGCTGAGGCTGACGGGGGCGCCGCCGGGGCCCATGCCGATCAGGGCATTCATGACTAGCACCTCCCACTGCCCGCCGCCAAGTAGGTTGTGCAGCAGCGTGGAGCGCAGGCCGCCCTGGCGCACCACCTGCGATGCATGAGGCGGGGGAGGGCAGGGGAGCAGCGGTGTGGCTGTGTGCGTGTGTGCGCGCGCACGCGCGTGTGTGCGCGCGCGACTAGCTAGCTGGCTGCCGGAGGGGGCACCACGGCAGCGCAGGCAAGCGAATCTCTGCCGCCGCTGCCAGCCGAAAGCCGGCAGGCTGGCCGCTGCCGCCGCCGCTCCCGCAGCTCACCCGCACAGTCACGTCGGATGACCGCTTGTTGCCCCGCACGGGCATGGTCACAGTGGCGATGTGTCCATCGTGGCTGATGGCCACGCTGCTGTTGTACCAGGGCCCCACCTGTAGCGGCGGCCCGCCCAGTTCGCCGCACAGCCGGGCGTGGCCCTCTGCCCGCTCCAGCACCAACCTACGGCAGCGGTGGCGGCGGCGCCGACAAGCACAGTGACTGTCCACGCACCGCAGCTCTGGGAGACAGGCAACCTAACTCCTGCAGCGGCAAACTCACCCTTTGGCTCGCAGGTAGAGCGCTGAGTCGGCGGCAGCGTCGGCGGTGGTGTAGGCCAGCGCTCCCACCAGCGCTGCGCCTCCCAGCCTCCTCAGCATGCTTGGTAGCGTGTGCGAGAGCCTTGGTAGGACGGTGCAGCCGGTTTCAGGGCGAGGCTGTGGGCAGACGATATAAATCCGTTACCTGGGGTGCTGGGCAATTAGGCAAGCTTGGTATGGTGTCAGAGCGGGCGTTCAGACCGGAAACGTTTCAGGTTGGGAGTGGCTTAGCTGGCGGCACAGCACACAACGCAGGAACCCTTGGATTGTCGTTTGGCGGCTCTGATGTGACTTCTGTTCACCGCCAATGCCTCGCCGTGTCGAGCAAAACGTCGTGACTCACGCGTGCAGGGTTTTGGCCCGCCCCGTCGACCTCCAGTGATCGCCTGGGGCAGGAGGTGCAGCCGGAGAGGAGGGCGCAGGGGGGAGCCGCCTCTCACGGGGCTGTTTGCCCGCCGGATGTCGGCCGGGCAGCAGCAGGGCGGCGCTGCGGCTGCCGGCGGCGCGCCCGCCGCCAAGCGACACAAGCCAGCGCCGCTGGCGGGCGTTTTGCTGTTCGTGCCCAAAAAGGTGGGCCGAGGGTTCCCTTATCTATCTCACCGCCTGTGCGGCGCCGCGGCATGCCGGCGTCTCTTTGCTTCCTTCCAAACACGATGCGCTTCCGCAGGGCTTGCCGCATTGCGCCACTGTGCTCAAGTCGTGGCAGGCGAGCGTGCCGGCGCTCGGTGGCGGCATCACTCAAGACCCTGCCTGCGCCGCCATCAGCCACGCCCTGGTGCCGCAGCCGGGGGGCGGCTGGGCCAGCCTGCCGCCCTGCCTGCGCCCGGGCAGCCCAACCGCGCCGCCCGGGCTGGCTTACGTGACGCAGCAGTGGGTCAGCGCCAGCCTGCGCAGGCAGCAGCGGCAGGCAGAGGGCGAGCACCGGCCGGCGGCGGAGGCGGGCGCGCCCGCGGCGGCGCCGGCGCCCCAGCCCGCGCGGCCGCCCTCTGCATACGAGGAGTGGCTGGGGCCGCTGTGGCGCCCAGAGTGCGCCGACATGGAGTTTGCCGAGCTCATGCTGCAGGTGTGTGTGCCTGTGTGTGTGTTACCCGCCTCCCTGGCTCTGGCCCCAGGCTCAGCCCCCCTGCCTCCCATTCTGCTGTCCCGACAGGGCGACTACGATGAGCAGCGGTGCCAGCGCATCGGCAATGAGCCGGTGGGTGCCTGTGCCCGCCGCCTGCCGCGGCCGTTTGCCCTCTCCACAGCCCCGCCCCGTGCGCCTGGCCCCGCCGCGGGCCGCTCAGCGCCGCCGCCACCCCGCCTCTCGCACCCGCACCTGCCACACCACCCCTGCCCTCCCCATCCGCCCCGCAGGTGGTGCAGGCGCTGCGGGAGCTGCAGAAGTACGAGGCCGCCCTCAGCAGCCAGTTCCTGACAGACGCCCTGGGCAAGCAGGTGGTGAACCACAAGGTGGGGCGCCTGGTGTGGGTGCCAGGGGCATGCCGTGGGTGCCGGGGCTGCCGCAGGTGCCGGGGCTGCCGCACGGGTAACGGGGTAGCAGCAGGGGTAATAAGGGGCGTGCAGGTGTAAGCGGTGCCATGCTGGCGAGCCGCTGGCGAGGAGGGCGTGCCAGCTGGCTGGACTGCTGCGCCGGCAAGCCCCTTCCTGGCCGGCCCCGCCTCGTGCCATGCCCGCCACCCGTCGGCGAATTCAGGTGCTCACCAGCCAACTTGCTCCCCCGCTCCGCTGCCCCCCCATGCCCCCTGCCCTCCAGTCGCTGGCCTATGCGCATGCGGCGGCGGTGGTACGTACGTGCGCGTACCGCCTGTCGCCGCCGCTGCAACCGGGCAGGCTGCCATACCTGGCAGACTCGACTGCGGAGGAGGTGAGCGAGATACTGCTCACCGGCACCTGCGACAAACTGGAGCGGTTCAGGTGGGAGGCGGGCCGGCGGGGGCAGCAGGGGCAGCGGGGGCAGCGGGAGCGGGGCCCGCCGCGTGGGGCCCTGCCGCGCTGCCAGCTGGCAGAGCCTGGCCAGCTCCCGTGTGGCCTGCCGGTCTCCACCCTGTGTCCCCGCGACACCCATGCGCAACCAGCACTTTCTCGGCGCCCCGCAGGCCTAAGCTGTCGTGCTGCGCCGCTCGTGTGCACCAATCACACGACCCCTGGCACGGCCCCTGTCTTCTTTGTTCTCCTGCCACGGGCCCCAAGCCCTCCACCGACGCCGCCCGCGCTTGCTGCAGGCGGGACGAGGCGGTGCGCGACTCCAAGGGCGTGCTGCGCCTGGACAGCGCCGGCGCCGCCACCCGCCGCCGCTTTGCCAGGCTGGTGGGCGTGGGGGCCAGCACGGCGCGCAAGTGGTGGGGCCGGGGGCTGAGGTGTGTGTGGCGCTGCGGGCGGCCAGGCCAGCCGAAGGCTGCTTGGGCCAACCTGCTGTCCGAGTGTGTATGAGTGTGGCAGAGAGCCTGCACTCAAAAACCCTAAATCGCAGGCGTGGTGGTGTGTGCGGCATAGGTCACCATTCTGTACAGACGGGCACAAGCCGGGCTGCAGCATCTGAGCAAGCTGGCCTCTCTGCTGGAGCCCCCTGCCGGCGCCTGCAGTACGTGCGAGGATGTGGAGGCGGCGGCCGCGGGCCAGGCAGCTTCCTGGCAGCCGCCGCTGGCGCTGACCGCGGCGCAGCGCTTTGGGCTGCGGTACCGCCGGGACCTGCTGGAGGGCATCAGTAAGTTGGTGGCGGTGCTGGGTGGCGGTGCTGGGTGGCGGTCTGGGTGGCGGTGCTACTATGGACGAGTGGATGCGCAGCCGGCGGCGATTGCTACGACAGCTGCTGTGGCTGGGACGGCCTGGCATGGCCTGCGAACGTCAGCCTCGGCTGCCGGCAGCTCCCGCCATATCCTCGGCACCTGGCCCTCCCTCCTCGCCCTGGCCCATCCACCCCTCCTGCCTGGGCTGCCGACTGCCTGCAGGCGCCCAGGACTTGGCGGAGATGCGGCAGGCGGTGGAGGCGGGGCTGCAGGCGGCGACCGGCGTGGGCGGCTGGCACGTGGAGGTGGTGGGCGGCACCCGGCGGCAGCAGCGGCCCCCGCCCCAAGCCCCGCAGCAGCAACGGCCGCCGCCCCAAGCCCCGCAGCAGCCGGAGCAGCAGCAGGGACAGCAGCAGCAGCAGGGACAGCAGCAGCAGCGGGAAGAGCAAAGGCAGGGAGAGGCCCGCCCAGGCCCGGAAGCGCCCGAACCCTTCGCCCCGCGCCGCTCTACACCCCCACCTGCCGCCGCCGGCGGCGGCGGCGGCGATGGCGGTGGCGGCGGCGGCGGCGGCGACGGGCGGCACCCTCCCAAGGAGTCCCACCGTGACCTTCCCCACCACGATGCCGACTTTGTGGTGTCCCACCCCACCTATGCCTGGCCCGACGACTTGATAGACCGGCTGCGAGATGAGCTGCTGGACGCGCGGCGCATCGTGCCGGCCGAGCAGGGTGCCATGTGCATGCTGCAGGTGGTGTGCCTGGGTCAGCTGGCATGCGCGGCTGCTGTGCCTGCTGGCTTTGCTGGCTGCTGTGCCTGCTGGCGTGGTTGGCTAGCCAGCTGTGCCTGCTGGCTCGCTTGCTGGCTGCTCAGCATGCTCGGTGGCCCGCCCTGCGCTGGCCCTGCCCTGCGCGCCCACGCCCGGGCCTCCGCCTTCTGCACCGCTTCGTGTACTGCTGTGCTGCTGTATGTACCGCAGAAACACCGCGCCGCTGACCTGGAGGCCAAGGTGGTGATGGAGGAGCTCACGGCCGCAGACCTGGCGCCCGAGGGACCGCAGGGCACCGTGGCGTCAGACAGGTGCGACCAGGGTGTGCTTGGTGGGCGGCCGCGGGCCGTGCCCCAAGGGTGGCGTGCTGGGCCAGTCCCCAGTATCACTGAGTTATACGGGATACCCATGTGATTATTGTTTGTCGTGCACTGGGCATGAATCGCACCGCCGCAGACTAGACCTCTAGAAGATCTTTCCTTTCATTTCTTTCTTTGCCTTCCTTCCTTTCCCGCCAGGCTCGACCACATGTTTGTTGTCTTCCGCACCGGCGCCGGCAGGCTGCGGCGCATGGACGTCATTCTGGCCACCCCCGCCCAGCTGCCCTACGCACTCATCGGCTGGATCGGTGCGCCGATGGCCGGCGCTGGAGTCACCCCAGATCGGCTTCTGGCGGGCGAGGCCTGCATGGCTTGCCTTGGCGTTGGAGCCTGCCTGGGCCTGCTTGGAGCCTGCCTGGGCCTGCCTGGGCCACCCATTGGTTGGAGCCTGGCTGCGACTGGCCTGGGATGACAGCCGGCTGCCGGCACCTGCCATGCCTGCTGGCCCGCGGCGCTGGCCACTCCATTGCATCGAGTGCTGCTGCCCGCCCCGCCTGCAGGCAGCGCTCAGTTCAACAGGTTCCTGCGCCGCCACCTCAACCGCCTCCACATGCACCTCAACAGCCAAGGGTGGGAGGGCAGGCTGCCCCTGCTCCCTCCTGCGGTGTTGTCACTACATGTGTATGCAGGGCTTTTGCTGCTCGCCAAGAGGGCTGAGCTGCTCGAGTCTGGCCCCACCCTGTTGCTGCCCTGCAGGCTGTACCGCATTTTGGATGGCCGCGTGGTGCGGGTGCCAGAGGGCGCGCCGCCGCTGGACAAGCACGGCCACGGCTGCTGGCCGCCGGGCTGGGGACCCTGCAGCGCGGCATCAGGTGGAGGGCAGGGCGACGAGGCGCCAGGGGCAGGAGCGGGAGCAGGAGGGGCAGCAGCGGCGGCAGCTGGGCCCGGGGGAGGCAGACCAGGAGGAGCGGTAGGGGGAGGTGGCACCAGCAGCGGCAGCGACAGCGGTAGTGGCAGCAGCCGTGGCAGCAGGGCGGTGCGGAGCCAGCGGGACCTGTTTGAGCTGCTGGGGCTGCCATACCGCGAGCCGTACCAGCGGGACTGCCCTTGACCAGCCCGTTTCTTGTATCACAAGCTGGCAGGGCAGCTGGACTGCCCTGAGCGACGCTGGACCCTGCCCTGCCTGCTCAGCCTGCTCCTCAGTTGCCCAGTTGTTTTCTGTGCGTGGTTGCAAGTACGGGCGCTCAGTTGTAAAGAAAGCGTGCATCATGGAACAGGGGACATGCGGGTTGGCAGCAGACTCTCAGCAGCAGGAACAGAAACCAGCAAAGCTCACACGCAGCCTGGACTCTCAGTGCACTCAGGCAAGCAAGCATTGGCACATCAACCCGCCGCTCGAGTGGCGTTCCAGCGTGCGGAAAGGTGACAGGAGCTTAGGGGAGGCTTGGAGGCGGAACATAGCACCGGGCCACCGCCGGCCAGCGCAGCCATGACCGAGGTGACTCGAGGTGGTTGTCACGACCTCTCGGTGACTCACTCTCGAAGGCTTTGCGGCTTCATTGCGCGGGCGCGGTGTCAGTCCCCGCCTTGCGGGGGCTGTTGGGCAGGTGGTTGGGGTCATAGACCAGAGAATTGGCGGTGTACTCTTCCGTGGGGTCGCTCATCTTGCGGCTGCTGTACACCCGCCACCACCTGCATGCAGCACGCAGCAACACCGGACGGAGCATCATTGAGGCCGGTGCTGTGCTGCCTGGATGCGTGGCGGCACGTGGCGGCACGCTGCTCAGCGGTGCTCACCTCTCCATGGAGGCCTCCAAATTGGCGCTCTTCTGGGGGGACTTGGGCCCGTAAATTGCCTGCAGGGCAAGGAGTGCAGGGGCGGCTCTGGGATGGCGGCGGCGGCCAGGCGGGCAGCGCCCGCCCGGTCCGCATCCAATCCCAGACAGCAACGGGCGACGAACAAACTCCAGTGACAAGCGGCTACCGCGAAATGAAGCAGCTCAGAGGCCCACCGACACCTGACACCGAGCCACCGTCCTTGCCTGCAGAACCTCGTCCGGGCACTTGCCAGTCTTCACTTTCAGCGTTTCCATGTCTGTACAAGCCATTGGAGGGCAGAGCGGTAACGGGGCGAGATGGCGCAGGGGCTTGTAGGCGGATGGTTTCGGAGCGAAGGCGAGGAGCCCCAAAATGATCACTTGAGCTGAGTGAGGCACAACGTGCAGCACGAGGGGTCGCCCGATGCCGGGGGCTAGCGGCTTGCATGCAGGCACTGCCAGCGATGTGCGGGTGGGCGCTTGCGCCACAGCCGCGTCTGTGGCAGCCTTACATCGAGCGCACCACAAAGAAAAATTGGATGCCAGGCAGCAGCAGCGCCTGGGGAGGCCTGCCCTCACTTGCCAATAGAAATGCTGCGTGGCGCCTACGAGCGCGCCCGCTTCCCGCCGCCGCTCCCGGACTTGCGCTTGCGCCCGCCGCCGGCAGAGGCCTTGCGTTTGCGCCCGGCGCCGCCGGACGAGGAGGCCCTGCCCTTGCGGTCGCCGCCGCGGCCCAGCGGCTCGCCCTTCTCCCGCTTGTAGGTCATGTACGCCTTCTGGCCCCACAGCTTGTTGCCGCTGGCGTCATAATAGACCTGCAGCAGGGGAGGAGGAGGCGGGCGAGATGTGATGAGGCATTGCGAGAGACAACAGCCGCTGCATGTTTGCGCGCTGTGAAGGCGGGCTAATGATCACTCGGGGTGGAGGTGGGAGGGCGGCGAGGAAAGCAAGGCATGTGCCAGGGCCAGTGGTGGCACAGGGCAGGCCGGGTCTCCCGCAGACCCAGGCACACACCATATTGGTACACCAAGAGCCGCATGCCTCACCTTGGTAGCCCCTTCCTCGATCCAGCAGCTCGTCAAGCCGCCGCCGCCGCCCTCGCCAGCCCCGCCGCCGCCGCCGCCGCCGCCGCCTCGGTCGCCTTTGCGGCCGGCGGCGCCGCGCTTGCGCCCGCCCGCTGCGCCACCCATGGCCGCCAACGGGCTGGAAGCGGCGGCGGCGGCGGCGGCCTTGGAGGCTGCAGTGGCGCCGCCGCCGCTGGCTCCCGAAAACTGCTGGCGGTAGTCAATGTACACAGTTGAGCCATCCCTGCAGCACACATCGCTCACCCATACACACACACGTCACGTACGGGTGCAGCAATTGCAGGAAGCAGGTGGGCCCTGGCAGCAGCAGGCGCCAGGGGCAAGGCACGCAAGGCAGGGCAGCAAGCCGCAGGCGGCAGGGCAGGCTGCCCAAGCACACACAGCCCACCTGGGGTCCTGGCCGCCACGCAGCGCGGCAACCGGCACAAAGTCTGGAAAGCGCGCCCACCACGGCGCGTCGCCACCCGCGGGCCCCGCTGCCGCCTTCCAGCCTCCCGCTCCCGCGGGCCGCGCGTGCGGCTGCTCCACCCACTGCCGCTGCTGGGATGCCGGCTGGCCGGTGCCTCCAGCAGCACCAAAGCCGTCTGTCGCATCCTCCTCTGGCGCCTGCCAGAATACCGCAGGCTCCTGCTCCTGCTCCTGCTGGTGGTGGTGGTGGTGGTGGCGGTGGTGGCTCCCCTCCTGCCATTGGGCCTCCCCGCCCAGCCACTGCCGGCCCTGGCCTCGCGGCGGCTCCTGCCCCTGCTGCCACCCCTGAGCGTCCCACCCTCCAGGCTGCTGCTGCTGGCGCTGATCCCAGCGCTGCTGGCCGGCGTGCCACGCTTGCTGGCCGTAGCCGCCGTGCCGGTCCGCATCACCCCACGCCTGCTGCTGCTGCTTCGGAGCTCGCTGCTCCTCCCACCCGCCCTCCTCCTCTGGGCCCTCCTCCGCTGCCTGCCAGAACACCTGTGGCCCGCTGGCTCCGCCTGCCGCTGCTCCAGCTCCCGTGTCCTGCTGCTGCTGCTGGACGCCCTGCCCCCAAGCCTGATGCTGCCACTGCCACTGCTGCTGCGCGGGTGCCTCGGCGCGTTGACTACCCGGCAGCGGCTCCCGCTGCTGGGAGGGGCCGCCGCTGCTGTCAACCAGACTGGAAACCTCCGGCTCCTCCTGCTGCTGAGGCTGCTGAGGCGGCTTCTGCTGCTGCTGTTGAGGCTGGTGCTGGTTTCTGCGCTGCGGCGCCGCCGGAGCCGGCGCCTTGGGCTGCTGCCTCGCCAGCTGCTGCTGCTGCCGCTGCTTCTGGGCGGAGGCAGCCGGGCGGCGGCGCTTGGCCGTGCTGGGCGCCTGCAAGAAGTCGTCGTCGCTGCTGCTGTCAAACACAGCCGCAGGCCTGGCGCGCTGCGGCTGCTGCGGCTGCTGCTTGGGCTCCATACGGGGCGGCTTGAAGGTGCGGTGCTGCTGCCAGGGCTTGGCACCGGCACCGCCGCCGGCAGCCGCCGCCGCTGCGGCGCCGGCACCCGCCGGCCCGTCTGGCAGGCTGCTCAACCGGGCCACCGCATCAACCGCCTCTGCCGCTGCGGCTGCCGCAGCAGCCATGGCTGGTGCCCCAACCGCTGCGGTAGCGGCCAGAGTGATGCGCTGCAGGGCAGGCAGAGCGAGGCAGAGACCGGGACCTAATGGGCAAACGAGTACACGAAGGTGGGCCCCTCGGGCCGCTGAAATGGGATGAGCCCCGGAGTGTTTATGACGAATACATACAGGAGTGCTGGCAGTGACTGGGGGAGGGTGCCACCAGGGCTCGCGGAACAGCTGACCAGCGCGGCATAATGCTGCCAGCCACTCACCGATCCCTTGGCCGCCGCACCGGTGCGAGCAAATGGGTTGCCCTTCGGTTTGGCCCCCGCGCCTGCCGCCGCTGCCGGCGCTGCTGCCTCTCCTGGACAGGCCGCGCCTGCAGGTGGCTCTGCTGGGTCTGCTGCAACCTCATCCGAAAAGGGTGTGCTCTGCAGACTGAGCAGCGCTGGCCCAGAGGGGCGGGGTGCGGTGGCGGCTGAGGGAGCCGCACCCTCAGCTGCCCAGGCCTCATCCGGCGTTAAATCCACCTCACACTCATGCTGCTGCTGCTGCTGCTGCTGCTGGGGCATGCGGCTGTCTCCAGCCTTGTGCAGCCGCCGCAGCCCCTGGCCAACCGTCTGGGTCCCTGGCAGCTGCTGCTGCGCCCTGGGTGCTGCGGCCTTGCCCTTGCTGCCCCATGCCACATCACACAAGTCGGCATCATCGTCGCTGTCGTCCGTCCGACCACCCGCCGCCACGGCTGCCGCTCCGCCCAGGCCTCCCTGCACAGCAGCTGGGTGGGGCTCGTGGCTGCGCAGCCCTACCAACACAGCAGCACAGGGCGAGCGAGGGGCGGCACCAGCGAGCCCAAGCATCGGCTGCAGCCCACCCACCTCGCCGCCCTCCTCCTCCTCGTCAGCGAAAATGGAGCGCAGCCGCTTGCGTCGTCCAGTGGAAGTCAAGCCCGGGCGCATGCCAGTGGTCAGGCGGGACCGCATGCCGCTGCCGCCACCAAACCCGCCGCCATGGTGTGCAGTAGCTGGCAGCGGCCTGGTGGCCGGCCCCTCGGCGGCCGCCGCAGCCTGCTGCAGCTCCTCGGCTGGGCTGCGCCAGCCTGCCGGAGCCAAGGCCTGCTGCTGCTGGGCCGCGGCGGCATGCGGTGCTGGTGCTGGCCCCGTTGCTGCTGGCAGATGTGCCTGGCCCGCTGGTGCTTCTGCCTGCGGAGCTTGCTGCGCAGCTGCTGGTGGGTGCTGAGGTGGCGGCGGCGACGTGCCCAGGTCTCCCAGCAGATCCCAGTTGGGTGCATCGTCATCCTCCTCATCCTCATCCCAGCTGTCTTTGTCGCCATCGCTTCCAGCCTTGACTGCTTGGGCGGGTGGGGCAGGAGTGGCCCTCCGCTGGAGGTCCAGAGGCAGCAGGGCATGGCAGTGGTCGACTGCCGCTCCTTGTGCTGCCTGGCCATGGTTGCTGGCGGCCGCAGTGATGTCCACGAGAGCAGCAGGGCCGCCGCTGCCGCCTGGGAGCGCCAGAGGCGACGGTGGCCCCGCCCGCGCGCCAGGCGACGGAGCCCCCGCCCGCGAGCCGCCGCCACTCAGGCTCAGGCGCTTGCGCAGCAGCGCTCTACAGCAGGTCGGCAGTGACACAGGCGCTGTTAACTTCACGGGAAGGCGCCCGGGGCCCCGCCGCAGAGAGCAAACTGTGCCCACCCGTTTGTTGTTGGTGCCGCCATGTCCGCGGTGAATCAATCGGCTGCCATAGTGTCCAAATCAAATAGATAGAGGCAACGCGACGCTGTTCATTTTCAATGGCCTGCGCCTGCGGCGCATGATTTGGCGAGGCCTGCCTCATGATGGTGCCAAATTGCCCCAATCCGTCCCAGGCTCACGTGCTGCCATCTGCGCCACTCATCAAGAGCTCCAGAAGCCCAAAGGCCCTCCGCCCTGCCAACTCGCCATCGCAAAACACCGCGAGGCCTCCCTGTCGGCCGCCTGAGCGCACCAACTGCTGCTACACATAGCATCCAGACCATCACACTCGCTCAGTGGCCGCCCGAGGCACGGTAGGAGGGAGCAGCAGCAAGCGGCGGCGGGTCGGGCAGCCTGCGCCACACCGTGTGGCTGCCTCGAGGCTGCCGCCTGCGGCGCCTGGCGCCATGAGCGCCCAGCAGCTCAGATCGGTGGATGACCTGGAGGATGCACTGCTAGAGGTGATACTTGCGCACGCCTGCGCAATCGGTGGCGCGGGTGCGCCGCCCACGCCGTGCTACCGCCACAGCGCCGCCATCCCGCAAGTCTGCAAGCGCTGGAGCCAGGTGTATGTTCAGGTGCGGCACCTGTCGAGGGGCCTGGGACCCCTGGAACCTTCGCCCAGAGCCTGTGTGCCGCCTCTCAGCAGAGCGTGCTGGGCGCTCGCGTGCCGACTGCCGCCGCGCCGCTCGTCGCCGCCACCCCCGCTGCCACCCTCCCAACCGCTCCCCACCCGCCCCGCCATCCTTCTGGTGGCCGCCCCCACCGCAGAGCACCGTGTTGTGGCAGGAGCTGCGCCTGGATTGGGCAGTGGTGCAGCAGCAGGCGGACGGCGGCGGCGTGGCGTTTGCTGCTGCCGCCGCCTGGCTCGCCTCGCGCCTGCCGTACGCGCGCCGCCTCATCTTCCGCGGCTGCCATGCGCTGGCAGGGCTACCGCAGCACCAGGTGGGGCAGGCAGGGCTGGCAGGCAGGACGGCAGGCAGGGTGGCGGGTAGGCCATGCATGTCAGGGCCTCCCAGTTTTGCACAGGCATGCCGCCCCTCGTCCAACCCTCGCCCTGGTTGCCCGCAGCTCTTCCCGGGCGGCTTGCGCAGCTCCCGCCTGCGCGAGGCGCTTTTCCTGGATACCCGCGGCAGCTTCGGTCCAGAGCTGGGCCTGCTGCGGGGCTGCCCCGGCGTGCAGGCGGTGGGCGTGGACTGCCCATTGCACGCCGCAGGCAAGCCCACGCCGCCGGCACGCCGCCGGCACACCGTGCACAGCGGGCCATGCCAGTCACTAGGGCGTATGCTGTTGAGCAGCTGTGTCCCATGCCACTGAGCATGTGCTGCCTCGCTTGCCTGCCCGCCCGCAGGGCCAGCCAACCCACTGTGCCTGCAGGGCGAGGCGCTGCATCAGCTTGTGGCGCTGCCAGCCCTGCAGCGCTTGGATCTGCGTGTCGACAAGGCAAGCTCTGGGCCTGGCTCGCGGCTGGCTGCCTGCATGCTGCGGATGCTGCTGGCCTTGCAGGCCGGAGCGGGCACAGAGTCTGGGGCTCGCCTGCCGCAGCCACACACGCCGCCCGCCCTCCCATGCGCCCGCCTGCCTGCCTACCTGCCGCGTGCCTGACCCTGCAGCTTGTGGGCAGCACGAGCGGGGTGGTCACCGCGCTGGCGGGGCTGACCCAGCTGGCGCTGAGCTGTCGCATGGAGTCGGCAGCTCTGGCTCCAGACCTGCTGGAAGGGCTGAGCCAGGTGCCTGCTGCCGCTGCCGCCGCAGCCGCGGCTGCTGTTTGCGGGCTGCTGCTGTCGCTGCTGCTGCTGTTGCCTGCTGTTTGCGGGCTGCTGCGGCAGCGGCAGCGGCTACTTGCTGCTGCTGGTACAAGTGGGGCGCACCGCTGTACCTGCCTGCCTGGCCTCTCCTCTGGCGGCCTGCCAGCTCCTCGAGCGGAGCCGCCCCGCGGCCGCCCTCTGCCTTGCAGCTGCGGCGCCTGGAGCTGCGCACGGTGCGGCTGGCCCAGTTCACGCCTCGCCTTGCGCAGGCCCTGGCCCGCCTCACGCACCTGGCCTGTGCAGGTGAGCACGGCCGTTGCTGCGCCGCATGCATCCGCTGCGCTCCCCTCTGCCCGCTTGCCAGCTGAAGCTCCTCCACGGCTTCAGCTGTGCCGCGCCGACCTCCCGTGCATCTCGCCCGGCCCCCTCCCATGCGCCGTGCGCCCCTGGCTGCTCCCCGCGCAGACGTGCTTGCGGCGCAGCCCCGCCGGCGGGCGGGCATCCAGCTGTGGGAGGGCCTGCGCCACCTGGCATCCCTGCGGGAGCTTTTCCTGGAGAACCAGAGCGGCGCCGGCATGCCGGGGAATGCGCTGGCCTGCACCGGGCTGCTGGGCCTGACGCTGCTGTCCTGCGCCGTCCAAGACTGGCCGGCGCTGCCGCGGCGCTACGGTGAGCGGCGCTGGGCGCGGCGCCGGCCACAGGCAGCCTCGCACCTGCCTCCCGGGCTCACGCCCCGCGCATGCATAGTGGGCCTGCCGGCTGCTCGCCGCCTGAAGGATGAGCATGCTTCCGCCCGCGCCCGCGCGCCGGTCCGCTGCTGCAGCCGGCGAGAGCGGGTGCATCGGCAGGCTGCAGTCGCTGCACCTGGGGTCGCTGCGCCTCGCCCGGCCCGTGCCGCCGCAGCTGTGGGCGCTGGCGGCGCCCGCGCTGACCTCGCTGACCTGGCACAGCGTGACCAGCTTCCCGGCAGCTGAGGAGCTGCACCTGGCTGAAGGCCCGCCGCAGCAGCTCATGCAGGCGAGCGGCCACAGCCGGCAGGCACTGGGGGCTGGTCGCCACCACTGCTGTGCTGTGTTCTTTGCATGTCTGGGCTCGGGCTGTTGCGCCACGCAAGCGACGGGCTGTGGGTGGTGGGTCTGGCACGCTGCAGCGCTTTGCCTGCTAAGAGCGAGGCTCGCCCTGCCACCCACGCCCCGATCCCCTCACCCATCTGCACCCCCTCTCTACCTGCCCTGCCTCCCAGCGCAGGCGGCCCCAGTGCCGGCAGAGTGGGTGCACCTGCAGCAGCTGCAGGCGCTGCAGCTGGAATATGCGCAGCTGGATGTGGTACCACCAGCAGTACAGGTGAGCATCACGCAGTACGGCCGGATGCCGTACCACTGGCCGCGAGGGGGGCAGGTTACAGTCCCGGCTGGCCCTCCCAAGCCGCCAGCGGAGGCGGGTGCGCCACAGCGGCGTCCCCCAGCAACCCCCCCTCCCCAAGCTTCTCCCCAAGGTCAACAGCCCCTCCCTCCACCCTTCCCGTGCCTGCTCCTGCAGGGCCTGCTGCATCTCACCTGCCTGTCGCTGGAGGGCAACCGCCTGACCACGCTGCCGGTGGGGCAGTATCTCACGGGCCTGGAGCGGCTGAGCCTGGCCAACAACGCACTGGCGGAGGTGCCAGAGGGGCTGACCGCTTGCAGCAGGTGTGTGGTGGACACTCGGCTGCCATGTGCCTGGAAGCTGCGCTAGCTGTGCTCAGCTGGGCTGCCGGCGGCTAGCCATTGATGCGACTGCGGCCAAGGATTGCCACGGCGCTGCCCCCGTTGCCGGATGCCGCAGCCTGCGGGAGCTCTCCCTGGCGGACAACCCGCAGCTGGTGGTTGGCAGCGCGGCGGCGCAGCAGCTGGCGGCGGCGGTGCCTCACCTGGAGCGCCTGCGCCTCAACATGGAGGTCCACTGTGGAGGGGAGGGCGGGGAGGGCGGCGGCGGTGGCGCAGGCGCGGCAGGGGGCAAGCTGCGGGCACAAATGGAGGGGCTGCAAACGCTGACGCAGCTGCTGGGCAACCGGCTGGTGCTGGAGCCTTGAGCCTGCGTTCCCAAGCTGCCGTGCCATTCCCATAGCAACTGCCATCGTTCAGGGATCAGATCACGACAAGGATGGGGTCGTTCTGGCTGGCTGCTCAGCTCCCTCCTTGCACCCCCCCATGCAAGGCAGCCGGCAGGAACATGAGCTAACCCAGCAGGAGCCGCATTGCTGGCGCTCATGTCGAGCGTGCCCCCGCCTGACCCTCTCGGTATGATCATATCACAGCTGTGCTGAGCATACAGCCCCGCAAAACCAAAGACGGCGCTTTGGCCATTGCTCCCACCTCGCCCAGTGCGCTCTGACAAGCCTCGCCTCGCGTTGAGGGCCGCGACATTCATCGGGATGCAGCGCTGGCTGCTCCTGTGCCTGGCGGCGTGCTTGTGGGCCACAGGGAGCAGGTGTGAGGGGTGCAGCAGCATGCGCCTTTGCACTCATTCATTCATTCATTCAGCACACAGCCCGGCCGCCTCTTGCTCGAGGGCGGCCCACTTTGGCCTGGGCAGCCCGGGCCGCCCTCCCCCCCGGGCGCATGTTCGGTGTTGGAGGGGTGTGCCCAGCGATAGGGGGCCCCTGAAGGCATGCGCCGAGGCCGGGAAGCGTGGTTCGGCGCTGCTGCACGCTTGGCGATTTGACCAGAACCACGTGCCGCCGAGCTGCGGGCGCAGTTTCCGGCCCACGGTCTACGGTCGCAGCCACGGGACTCGGCGGCACGGCGTTTGGGCCCAAGCTTGCTGCCGCCGCCGCCGTGCCCGGGGGGGCAGCGCGGCGGCGGCGGCGGCACGCTGAGACGCCCCCGTGCTGCCGAGCTGCGGCCGTAGTTTCCTGCCAGAAGCCCACGGCCACAGCCACGGGACTCGGCGGCACGGAGTTTCGGTCCACGGCTTGCTGCCGCCGCCGTCGCAGGGGTGCTGCCTGCGGCGGCGGCGGCACGGCGTTTGGGTCCACGGCTTGCTGCCGCTGCCGCCGCCGCAGGGGTGCTGCCTGCGGCGGCGGCGGTAGCGCACGTGGCAACCCCCCGCGTTTCCTTGCCTCCCATCCACCGGACCCCGTCCTGCGCTTCACTTTGTTTAGGGAGGGGCTGCTCAACTGCTCATTGCTCATG